AGGCCTGCATGACGGGAGTCTTGAATTGAGTCCCTACCGTTCCCTTTCGAGCCCCCATTTTAGGCAACTTTAGGGCGAGATACCACAGCGCCAGTTTATCTTTGCGGTTCGAGGGAGAATTCTGCCATCAAATCGGTTGTCTGTAGACTTTTGTTATTTTTCATCTTTCGCTTCGAGTGCAAAGTTAGCCTCAGCCCAATCCGAGGGCAGTTCAGTAGATGAATCTGGATCAACAGATGCATTGGATGGTGTGGCGAGGACTGATTCGCTCAACTCAACGGACTCATCTGCATCGCACACCTCCTTCAGGTACCGGTGAGGTCAATTTGGATGTGAATGGGTTACGACTGATGTGCGTCCTCCTCTTTAATGTCGCTTAATGGTACGAAAGGATCATGAATTCTTATTATCGTGTCTATAAGAGTTATAAAAGTAACTGTCATGTGAGTGTAATTGGTCAATTTTCCATACGTGAGTTTGTTATGGTCAACTAAAATCAATGGTAGTGAGGCAAATTAAGAGCTAGATAAACCCGTTAAAACTGATTTGATGAATTGTTGTATTCGTCAAATTCTACCACCGAAACTAGCCACGCTAGCCTGCCTAAGTTGGTGTAAAAACCGAAAGTATGATTATTGCCTTGACGAAATATGTAGGCTTCACGATGTCAATACATTTCACATAACCTGACCTTCCAAAATGAATTTTCATCATATATATATATATATGTATATGGGTCGCTTCTGCTCTCTGGCCCGCGGTTTCATGGTTCTCGTGGCCATATAACGGACTGAAGGTGTCACGCCACGACGCCCACAACTCAGTTTACGTTCGATTACGTTGCGAGCATTGCGGATTGTTGTGAAATATAGTCAAATCACTTGAATGCTACTTTGTGAATTTGCGAATTGAGTGGGAATTGGTATCTTCTGAAATGGATACCACTTTTTAGTGAACAAATGGTTGTTTAATGCTTCAATATTGCCCCAAATAAATTGCCATCCGATGATACCGTTTTGTATACTTGCTCAAAATAGACGCTTATTTTGTGAAAAGAACACACAATCTTATTTGACAAAGTATGAATGCTTTATTGAATATATGAAGACCAAGTTGTTGTGGCCTCTGGTATGGTCGCAGAATGTACCAAGTCCACTGTCAGATGCTGGGACTCATGACAACTACTATGGCAGACGAATTCGGACTAGCTGCGTTCTACATAGTCGCCCTGACAACAAGACCAAGTTGCGACCAAGAGGTCAACCCAATTCTTTAGATGCTTTCGCTTCAGGTTGTTTGAGGCGGATTACGCGCGAGTGTTGTTGAACGTTGCTCACTTTGAGGGCGTGTCTGCGGCATGAGGTCATCAGCTCGGGCTTTGCATCAGTCGCCAAAGTTACTGTCCGGCCGGGCCGGTTCGTCGGTCGGGCAGACGAGCAAAGCGACCGGTGATGAGCTGTTGCCAGTCCGAGGGTCGCAGCGGCGGTCAGACCGAGCGAGTAGGGCCGGGCCGGGCCGGGCCGTTCCGGTCGGTTGAGGTGAATTGTCGCCGTGTCAACGACAAGCCTGTAGACGTACGAGATACAGTGTTCGGCTGAATGTCATTCATTTGCTGCTTCAACAGGCCAGGCCTCTCGCAGTGCCATCACAGACCGACATCTTCGTGGCACACACCGACATACACACACACACACACACACA